TCCTTTTTTTTTTTTTTTTTTAAGACTGATTTTTCCATGAAGCATGTGAACTCGCCAGGGAGAGACAGAGACAGAAAGTGAGAAATCACCGCCCGAGGCCATGGCCCCATTGCAGCCCCTTCCCTTCCATTCTCCTCTCAGGATTTTGGGCACATATGCACATGGGCCCAGCATGAGTTTTAAGCCGCTGGGTCCAGGACTCGAACCGCAGTCGACTATGTGGGAGTCCAGAGAAGTAACCATTACGCCATCTGCTGGTCCCAAGGCCCCGCTTTTTGACTCCGTAGTTGGATTAAGTTCCCACCCTCTCACACCACCACAACCAAACCTCAGCCCGTGAATGTGGGCGCTGCTCAGATTAGCCAGGCCTTATTGGTTGTCCGTCTGGAGCCTTCTAGACTAGACGGGGCACCTGTAGCCCCAGAACTCTGTGACTGAGAATGGGAGCTGGCGGCCCCACTGCCCTGCAGTGCAGCCTCTCGACTCCCAGCTCCACATGGGACTGCACACCTGCTGCCGACGGAGAGCTTTGAAGCAGAGCCGGACGCAGGTGGCTCGGGAGCTCGGGGGAGCAGTGGGGAGAGAGGACGCCAGGCAGAGGCAGCAGCCGAGGCCGGGCTGGAGTGGGCTGAGGTCCTCTGTCCGCAGGGTGGGCGATGCCGCACTGGGGCTGGTCTGCATGGTGCTCCTGCTGGTGCTGAAGCTGATGCGAGACCACGTGCCTCCCGTCCACCCTGAGATGCCCCCTGGCGTGCGGCTCAGCCACGGGCTGGTGTGGACGGCCACGACAGGTGAGGGGCCATCTGGCGGGGAGCCTGGGCTGCACACGTGGGCGCCAGGAGAGCCCCGAGTCCGTGACACAGGCACTGGTAGTTGAACACTCGGTAGTTGGTTCTGATACTGACTAGAATTGGATCCCGACCCGCAGCAGGGGTTCGTAGCCCCAGACGTGTGCAAAGTCAGGAGCCCTTTCCAGTGGGTACTTCGGGGGAGGGGAGGCTGTCCTGCACCTCTAGCAGGAGAGGCCAGAGTGCTTTAAACAGCCCCGAGGGAGCGGCCTTCCACGCTCCCTGGCCCACACATCAGCATGGCTGAGGTGAAGAAACCCTGGTCCAGGGGCAGGGCCTGGGAGAGGAAATAAATCCCACTGAGACCAGCTGGTCCTGCTGTGACTGCGCTTGTGGGTGTGAAAATCTAGCTTCGGGCACAGAGGCCCCTGGCTGAGTCACAGGTGACAAAGGGTCCACTGAGAAAGGGCGAGGAAGGACTAAGGGAGGGCAGCATGGCCTCGGCTCACCCAAGGGCCAGCTCTGGGTGGTGGCCCCTCACCGAAGCATGCTGTGATCTGGTTGCCCAGGTGGGCATAGACGCCCCCAGGGCGGAGTGCGGCCAGTGTCACCAGAGGGGACGGCACAGGAGAGTTGGAAGCACTGGAGTCTACCCAGCCCACCCTCTGAGAGCTGGGAGGAGAGGGAAAGACCCTGCTTGGCCCTGCTTGGTCCTGCCGCAAAATCCACCAGTAAGAGGAGAGCCGGGTGGCTAGGTTTAGCCTCTTAGCTATCTCTAACTGTCAGGCCGGTCCCCATCCTCCCCTGAGCTTGTTCTGCAGGTTCAAGGCTGGGGACGAGCACAGGGTGTAGAGAAATATCTGGCCTGCTACGTGTCCTGTAGCAAATTAAAATTGTAATGATTATAAATTAAATTAAATAGTTCTTTACAAAAAAATTACCAGAGGGCATGTGTGCTTACTGGAGAGAAAGAAAACGCAAGGCAGCACCCGAGTGCGGGATGGTCGCGGCACAGTCCCCTCTCCGTCTCATCCCCTGCCCATCTTCGAGGAAATGCTGTGAGACCAGCAGGTGGCATAGTGGCCAAGGCTCTGGACTCCCACATGGCTGACCTTGGTTTAAGTCCTGGACCTGGTGGCTTAACAATTGCAGTGGGCGTGTATATGTGTGTGGCCAAAATCCCAGCAGGATGGAGGAGAAGGGATTGTGGTGTGTCCATTCCCCTGGGGGGTGGTTTCTCACTGTCTGTCTCACTGTCTCTTTCTCTCTCTCAATCTGTCTATCCCTCTCTGGAGAACACTCATGTCCCATAGCAAAAACTAAAAGAAAACAAAACACTGTTCTCAAAAACCTCAATACTGGGAACCAGCAGTTAGCGTAATGGCTTTCATTTCCTACTCCCACGTAGTCGACCGCGGTTCGCGTC